GTAAGCGGCTGGGAGCGGGGGCTGCCGGGGCAGCCATGTGGGGCTGGGGCTTGGCAGGGGTCTCCCCGTGGTCCCCCCTCCCCTCCTCCAGACCCCCTCCCCCGGTCCCTATTTACCAGCTCAGAGTCTGGGTCCAGCTCCTTGGACCGCCTGCATCACCCAAGCTCTGCGAATCTTTTCCAAATCAATTCAGAGAGCTCTGAATCGATTCGGACCTTCGAATTGCTCCCCTGATTCCATTCGGATTCAGAGATTCGGCCACCAAATCAGGCCCAATCGCCTCCGAATCGAATCAGCACCTGAAGCGTTGCATCAGCCCTAGGATATATATACATCACCTTTGAAAATATATGGGTGTCCGTGTCCGTGTGCGCGTGCGCGTGCGTATATATGACGACATTATATTTTGACAGAAAACCCCCCAAAACTCGCCAGTTGTAGGGCCACATATGGTTCCCGAAGAAGCCAAAAGATTTCAAACTCATCTGGCCGATGTGGTTATCTGACCTAGGACACAAAATATTGTCCTTAAAAAAAATGTTTTAAAACGGAAGGTAGGAGCTGATCCTGGAGACACCGCGGCTGCAGGGCGCAGGCTGGAATGTCTCAGGAAGTTGCCCAGCTCCGTGCCCTCCGTGGAGTCCCAGAACCCACGGCAGGGCCTTGGCGCTGGTGGAAGCTGTGAGCCCTGGGCACTGGTGGAAGCTGTGAGCTGAGCGCTGCCGGGCACCGGAAAGGGCTGAGATGGCAGGCTGACGGAGCTAATGCCCCCTGTGCCCTCCAGCCCTGCTCCTCTGCCTGCAACATGGCATCTCCCTCCTGCCAGCCTTTGCAGGGCACAGCACATGCCTTTTCTCTGCCTTGTTCCCCTCCTAGAGCAGCAAGAGCCCCGCTGCCCTGCAAGCAGTGGCAGTTTGGTAGCAAACGGCAGCACGGTGACACGGCTCTCCTCGGGGTGCTGCAAGGCTCAGTGGCGCAAACCACAGTCCTGGGGGCCGCACGGGGCACGGGGCACTTTGGGGCCAGAGCCTTGGGGAAGCTTATTTGCATACCCAGGATGCAATGCAGCGCAAGAAGGAAAATTTGGGGGGTTCGCTCTTTTGAGGCTCCCCAAATTCCCCGTCGCGGCGTCGCTCTGTGGTGCCTGCCCCGGGGCCAAGCAGCGCTGCGGGGGGACGGCCGGGCTGGGGGCCGCTGTAAGCGGTGCAAGGATTGGGGCCGCCTTGGCTGCTCCTCTGCGGGTCCCCTGTATGCTCTGGCTTCTCTTCAAGTTGCATAAATCTTTCGCCTTTTACTAAAGATTTCCGTGGCGAGGAGCAGTTATGAGTCTCGACCCAATTTTTGAGGCCCTGCTTTGGCGGGGCTACCCTTGAGAGTGCAAGAGCAGAGCAAAGGTGCTTTGGATTGGATGTAGGCCATGGGGCTCAGGCCTTGGTTACTTTGTAGCAGGCTGGCAGCTGTGGTTCCTTTCCCTGCTTGAGTGGAGGCGGTCCGGACACAGCCACTTCCCCGAAGCACCCTGAGATGCATCTCTTTACTGTAGTGCTGACAGTCCCCAAAAGGCCCAAGAATGGCCAAAACCTCGCAGTCCAAGATCTCATAATTTTGTTCCTTTGGGGTGAGCTTCTCGAAACAGGTCCTCCAGGGGTGTAGGGCCTGTTTTGGGCCCTGCCTTTGTGAGAGCACGGCATTTATAGTGATGCCGGGGCAGGGGTGGGCAAAACCCAGCCCGCGGGCTGCATGCTGCCCACCAGGCCATTCGATTCGGGGCCCCTCAAAGTTTTTTAAAACTCAATCTGTATCTGCCCCGGCTCCTGTCAAAGATGACAGGAGCCACGGGCCGTAGGACCCAGCCGAAGCCACCGCAGGAACCTGGAACAGCAAGGCATGC